CTTAACACCAAAGAAAAGTGTAAAAAAAAAAAGTTCAGCGCTCCCCTTTAAAAGGCCCGTGCGTAGGATTTAGTGGCATCTCAGTGGTGTAGCTGTAGACTGCAATAATTTGCTTACCCTCCCTCTAAATGAGAAGGAGAAACCGGTTTGTCCGTTCTTAGCTACTGTAGAAACATGGCGGTTCAACATGGCTGGAGGGCAACAACAATGTCTGTAAATAAACAAGCTCATTCTAACATAACAAAAACAATAATTCTTATTTCCAGGTGAATCAACTGAAATAAATTTTCTGTCATTCAAATTATTGTTCAATCAACTACTCATTTCAGCTCTAATGTGACATTAAATATGAATCTAACAACTGAACTTCGTGTGGTATTGTTGCTAATAGATTTCATGGAAGAGTTTGTGCTAACTGTATTATTCAGGAGCCCTTCAGCTGTTCTCCGTTAGTCACTTTGTTGATGGGTGTTACATGTGATTTGTTTTATCAATTGTCAATGGTGGGACAATTAGTTAGTGTTATTTTTATATTTGAGAGAGGGCGGGGTTGGAGCTGCACTGGAGCGCGACCGCAGGGGTCTTACAGTTTAAAGTAACTGGATTCGTAAGCGTACACTCTGTTGTCGGCAGGATTTGTTGTTCATTGTCCGGTATTATTTCTGTTCTCGCTTAATGTCCATGTAAAGAGTCTCTCTCACTCAGTTTTGGAGATTATAGCATGACCACAATCAAATAAACGGTGTCATTGTCGTGGTCAAATATGGTATTTGCGACTTGCGATCTGTATCATAATAGTTCACAACTACCGTGAATAAAATTCAACATTCGTCCTTTGATTTTGGTTGAAATCTTGAATGGAAGAAAATCAAGTCTTATTTACACCCCCCCCCCTTATTTTTGTAATCAGAGGTTTTATCCTTGTATTTTGAGGGATTATGAGTGCCTCGGTGTGTTTTGTTTACCTTCTTATGACTGACACGCTGTACATCTGCACCATTTCTTGATTTATTTGTGTAGCTGGCAGAATGTGAAACCAACATGGGGGTTTGTTTAAAATCTGGATGATCATCATGTGACTGGTCAGGGTCCTCGTCCTATTAGTCTAACAATGTTGCCACAATCCCAATTATAAGTAATTTTTGAGTCACTGATTTTATTAATCATTTTTATTAAATGACCCCACAACAAACTACTACTAAACTGTAATTTTTATGTAACATTTACACTAAAAAACTCAATACTCAACCCTGAACCAATTGTGTTTGTCTTCAAAAACTTCCCTGTATTTGTGACTAAAGATGGACCATAGAACCCCCTCCCATCTCCTGCATTTCCTGCCAATACTGTAACCAACAAGGCTTAACTGCTCACCCCATTTAGCCCCTAGCATCCCCCTTCATCACCCAGCCCTCCTCCAATCTCTCCTTTCTGCTTCTCCATATTTGGGGCTGTGGAGGCCACAGCCCCTGTAGGGCTGTTAGTATACACACCAGCTGCTGTTTTCTCCATAGGGTGGGCTGCCTCACGTGGCTCTCACACACTGCTTCAATGACTCTTGATGTCTGTGTTTGTTTTTGTTTATCCTTCAT